AAAGAGCTCGAAAGCTCCAATGAACACGACATCAAAACTTGAGCCACCCAAACTTATGCCGATGCCTCAACGCCGCCCCGCGCTCGCCATTCATCACCTGTGCGAAGTCTGTTGTTGTTGCTGCGGATTCCCTGGAAGTTAGCACTGTCGTCAAAAACAATCATGAGATTCAAGTCATGTGAACACTGCGCTTGAAGGTCATGGCCGGGATCACTTTCCGGTCCTCAACGAAACAACGCTCTCAATGTCCCACGCCTATTAATTCAACTTCTAACCAGGCACCTCTAACACCTAAGCCTGAGCCCGAGATTCAGTGAAGAACCTGTGGGACTTAATGGCATCTGTCTGCCACTCAAGCATCGGTTTAGCGCGATGAGTGGGGCTCGGAATTCAAGTCTGTCGATGACCTCACGACTCTCGGGCTTCGAAACCGAAGCTGGTCAAGTTCGTAAGATGGGGAACAATGGGCACTTGGGTCACATGGGTCTACTGTCTACATCCACGAACCTAACTCGCAGGACACTGAGGCAGCAGGCTGCGTTGATCAGCGTGGCATTGCACTTGATGCCCAACGCCTTCTGCTGAAAGACTTAGGCCAACGGCTCGGAAGTGCGAGGGCCTTGCTTGGTAGCTCAGTGGCTGGGGTAAAGCCATGCATGGCCAGCCCGCTAGGCTGTGGAGTCGGCTTCAGCAGACCGGAAGTTGCTGCCTCGCTGCACGATGGAAACGCCCTTCAACTGACATTTCAGCAATCCTCAATAATCTAACAGACCCCCAAATCCTGAACCCAAAGCCGTTCGAACCCTCTTAGCCAAAGCACTGAATTCAGGCACAATCCCTGGTCCCAAGACCCTGACCCACCCAGCACTTCAAACTTGAAACTTTGGGATCCTCCTCATCTGAAAAGGAGACTAGGTTCCCACCTTCAGGATAGGTTCCAGCGTCTTGAAGTTGGCGATTTTCGCTTGATGTGAATTCCTGGACTCGGACTTTCGGGCAGGCTCAGGGTTCCGGGCACGAGACCTCCGGGCTTGAATACTTATGAATAGCTTATGAACTTCTCCCTAGCAGGTTCATCAGGTTCAGGGCACGGCTTGAAGGCTTGGGAACCGTTGAACCGTCCACGCAACGGGGCATAGAGCGCACGTCGGCACTTCAAAACCAAAGCCGAAGTTTGACGGCACTGATCCGTCGGATCCCCACAGCAAAGCTTCTGTACCGCTGTCGGACAGGCCTTGAGCGGAGAAGCTGGCAAACTGCCCGAGTCAAGTCTTGAGGACCAGACCCTGAAACCAGAAAACCCTGCTTTCACCCTTGAACCTTGAACACTTGCCCTGAAGACAGGTCCCTCGTGTTCCGAAGAGCCTACAGCCTCCAACCGTGCCGATCAAGGCTCTTGTTCTGAAACTGCTCCGAATCTGCCTTGCGAGGGTTTCGGATGAGATGTTGGGATCAGGCAGCTTTCGGCTTCGCAGAGTGTGGAGTTTGGAGCTGATTTCAGAACTCCTCATGCTCCGGGTCTCAAAGTTCGGGATCTGGCTGGAGATTGGGTTTCTCAGAGTTTGCCCTGACCTGCCCCACTTCTTTTCTGGCATCTGGACTGTCGATCTTGGGCCTGCCAAAACTTGTGCAGGATCTCACCGAAGAGGTAGCCAGATGCGAAGTCCTAGGAGCCATCAAGCACGGCTTCTGATGAGTTCGCGAGGGGGTGGGGGGAGGGCGTGGGCGGGGGGGAGGGGGGGTCGAAACTGGGGACAAAAAGCGCAAACAGTACTCCAAAAGGTCTACCAGCTTTATGGCTTATATTTGTTCTTCAAAGGGGTGCTGAGTCTTACCAAAACACGTGGCGTTGGTTTCGGACTCATTGTCCGGATTGCCACAAGACAGGATTTGAAGAAGCTCGTCCTCTCAAATGAGCCGCAGCTGCTCCCTGGACATCCTTTGAGCAGCGGTTGCTCCTTACGAAACCCAAGTCCTGTCAACACAATAATGGGACTGCCTCTGGCCAAAAATATGACGGCAGCAACGATTTTCAGACATAGCAACAGCAACCACAATAACAATGATTGTGGCTTCACTCTGCGAAGCACCACAGACCAACGTTTGACAGCATCACAGGCGACAAAACCTTCCTGCTACGCAGATGAATGCACCTAGACGGAAAGCTGACAAAGCAGGGTTTTGTTGCGGAATTCTTTCACATCTATCTCAGAAGCCTAGCACGAAACCACCGTGCAAAACATGGCCGTCCTGTACTTCTCTTGATGCTACTGAAGCTGGCATACACCCATTATAGAATATGATATTTGGTAAGTCGCCCTCATCGCAGTTTAGGCTTCCAGGCACCAACAACATCCTGCCCAGTCCGAGTTCTCAAGTTCTGCAACAATTCAGCTGCCAAGAAACTTCGGGGACCTCTTCAGTTTGAACCATCTTACAAGCCTTGCGCTTTAGGGCCTTGAGCGTTTCGGCCACCTATGCGCTCCGACTACGAAAGCCATACACAGGCATGATGCCGTCAATATCGCGCCTTCTCGAAATTGGAGACATTAGTTGACAGGCCGACCTGGACACGGTTTTGCGTGTTGAGGCGTGGGATGAGAGAGGGGCCCTGGAGAAGATTTCAGCATTCGAACTGGGCGTGGGTTACAGCGGGGTGAGGCCTTGGTTGAGGTGCTGCTCTCTGTGGTGATGCGGGCCGGGGTTACGACCGCCTCTACCACCGTCTGCGGCCGCCCAGCCATCACGGCCATTACCAACACCACCCCCACTGCCGCCACCATCACGGTGTAGTCAGCTGTTATAACTACGGACATGTCCTGATGCATTGGATGGTTGATTTACCGGGGCAGGCACGCGTGCACACTCACCTGAGACAGATGCTGCTGTCGGAGCAGCCGGTATAGGTTAGGGTACTGATGTGAGGGCAAAACCAAAAAGCTGCACGCCATGCCTCGTTGTTCAGCCAGTTCTGAAGTAGTTCCGACATCTGGGAGGGCAAGTGGCCTTGGACGCTGCAGCAGCCTAGACTCCCATGCTACAGAGGCTGGTTGCAGAAGCGGCCTGGACAAACAATCCCGGACCAGCCTCGACACGTGGAACCCACTGGCCAACTCATAAAGCTGAATGGATCCCAGATTCCAGCAGCTGCGTGCAGGATGTAAAGAGACGCCCGAAACCGAAACCTAGAAGGCCATTCCGCCAGGTCCCGGGCGTTGTCCACGCCCACCCTCATGGGGCCCCCCTTTGGGGGTCCTTTACGTCTGAGCCACGTCCAGGCGGCTTCATGCAGTTCGGCGCGGCAGGGGGGGTGTGTTTGCCTTTCCGCTTGCGAGGGAGTATCGCGTTGAGGTCTCGGGCTCGGGTTTCAGTCACGTGAACCTCAAGTGGAGCAGCTCGGGCCAGTCTTAGAGCTACCCATCGACAAAACTGGTTCTTGGCAAGAAACACTGAACTGTCTTGCGCCTCAGGCTGTGTTTCGGGCGGCCTGGGGCTTGCTCTCTGCGTAGCCTAGACTACAGGGTTGACTTGCAAGCGGTGCGGGATGCAAGTCCACGCGTAGTAGAAGCGGTGCAAACAAACCCGAAGACCAGAGTCACAAACGGCAAAAAAGAGAAGAAGGCACAAGAAAATATACTACAAAACGTCCAGTGGTTGCATAACGCTCGATAAGAACCATCAGCTTGCTTTCGTACAAGAAGGATGGCAATGCCAACCCGACTACGGACCCATGTAAAATCGGCCATCAGTAATAGCACGTTACACCCCCGATCATGCATGAGCAGCTGCGCGGCTGTGGCACTTTTCCATCTGCCAATGGAAACTCCAAGAGTTGAGGGAGCAGTTGGCGGCGCCCGGCACTTTCTGTCAACTGACCCAGGCCGACTACATGACTACCAGCACCTCCTAGGCTCCAGCTTGTGCGAAGGACACACTGGACCCGGGACTGGACCCGATATCGCCGCCATACGAGCTGTCCAGGGTTTCCGACGAGAATGCGGCAGCAGTTTGTATTGATGCCCTTACGTGTAATGCAGCTATGAAGTAACGTAAACGACAAACATCAAAGTCTAGATATCGGAATCGCATCTGCCTCATGCGTCCACATTGCAGCCGAGCTTGGCCGCGTCTCCAACTGCGAACCCGAAGTCGATGGAGATGTACGGTGTACCCTAAGTTGCAGACTTTCGATAAAGCTCGTGGTGATGGAAGCGGACCCGACAACGTGCAGACAACCTGTGGAGTCAACAAGTCCGGGTTGCCTAGCCTGCTACTACTACTGCTACGACGCACAGAAATGACAGACACTTTGCACGAGCATCGCGATAGTACAGCGACACGGTACCAACAAAGACCACGCGCTGCGAAGTTGGAGACGGTGCTGGTGGCGGCGGTTTCCTGACCGCCATGCGCAAGCCGTAGTCTTGCGCTGAACGGTTGCATGTACTATCTGGTTCGAACTGCCTCAAGACAGCTCTGAAGCAATCCTGGGCACCTACCGCTATCTTTCATGCTTTACTGTAGTGATGGTACCAACTGCCATCCGTCGGCATGTGGCCTTCATCGCCTTCATGCCCTTCATTGCAGTGGCCCTGCAACAGCGACAGCAAGCTATGACGACGAGAATCGGCTTGGGGATACAGCTTGTGACTGCGCATGTTTCTCGGTGCGGTCCTCATGGCAAGCAAGCACAGCGACACCACGTGCAATAGGACACAAGCTCTACCTTTGATTTTGGACGCATCAACCAAGAGGTGGAGACATTCTGCAGCTGCCAACATGACAAACAGAACCGGGCTCTCAGCTTGCAACAAAGGCTCGCGGGCTTATCACTCTTAGCCGGTTGCCACGGGGACGCCTATTTGGCAAATTCTGAAACAGGTCTTCAGCCACACCACGAAATTACACGCCTTTTCCCTGTTGGTGTGCATCAACAGGCTCACGAGATCTCGCGGACATCCATTTTGTTGCGTCCGCCCTCTCGCAATGCACAGGACAAGTTAGCGACAATCGTTGCTGCCGGTCTGAAGGTTCATGTTGCAGCACAAGGTCGAGATGCCGCCTCCAAAGGCTTGCGCACACGTGGCAGAACCCAGTGTAGCCCCGAAGGGACAGGCTGCAGTGACCATGGGCAGGTTCACAGAGCCAACAGCTGCGACCGTGATGTAGGCGGAGCAGCCGTCCACGTTGCAGCCAACCCCTCCTCCCAAGCCAACACCACTCCAAGTTAACTTGGCTGTAATTCCAACGGCAAAGCCGAAATCCACAGAGATGAAGGCCACAGGCGGATGGCCCCTCACCAGCTTGTCCAGGCTCTGCCCAGAGCCAGAGGAAAGCCCCATGTTCAAGGATACAGCCCCTGGGACAACCTCGTAGGAGTAGCCCGTGGACGTGAACTCGGCGGCAGTGCCAATGCAAGCAAGGCCCTCCGCCATGAACTCCACGACATCCTCTACAACCTTCGCCACGGCAGCCACGGCCGCTTCGAAGATCCTCCTGACAGGGACATCTAGTTCAAGTGGGGTGAGGGCGGTCAGGCGTCTCGCTGCTGAACAGGGAGCCTCCGGTGTCGTCGCCGTCTTCGGCCCCCGATCCATCTCCTGCCAGTAGCATGGGGATAGTGCAGACATCCCGGATGTTTGCGGTCTCTCTGGAGTCTCCCATCGTCCTGCGGCGCCTACGACGACGTCTGCGACGACGACCACCCTCGTCTTCGGACTCTGACTCCAACTCTTCGTCCTCACCTTCGGACACCTGGTCCAGGGATCAGCAATGATTCGCAGAGGCAAAAGCAACATGACCAAGGAGTCTCCTACCTGCAAGTAGGCGGGCTCATCCTCATCTTCTTCCACGGCGTCGTCAACGGCCGATCTGCTGAGCATGCTGAGCCCGTGCTCCTCGTCCTCCTCACAACACAAGTTGCCAAGCCAGCTGAAGGAGCTTTTGACTACCCTTGCCCTTGTCCTCCTCCTCCTCTTCATGTGTGTCCTGCGCGACACTGCGAGGAAAACAGTCGGCGGAATTGAAGCGCACTGGTGTTGCCTGTTCCACCGAAAGCATGCACAGGATTGTCACGCTCCTCCTGTTGCAGCTGGCGGTGTCCAGCCTTTCGCTTCTGAAACTTCCGAAACTCCACCTGCAAAAAATCAGGCGGCCGAAGGCTGAAGCTTGGGCTTCGGCCGTTCTCAGTTCTCCCTACGATGCGCTTACCTACATGACCAGCTCGAGCTCGAGCTCGAGGCTGCTGGCCCGAGCCCCTTTCTGCGATGGAGCACTCAGACCCCGTCCAGGAGGGCAACATTCTTGTTGGGATTTGGGGGACTGCTGCACGGCCTGGTCCAGCAGCTGCAGGGCCCTGTCAGCGGGGAGAAAGAAGCCCAGTGCGGCGCAAGGCACTCTGACGACTGGCCTCGTCTCATCGGTGCTGGCGAGGGATCTCATGACAGGGATGACGAACCTGCGGCTGACACCGGTTTCAAAGACGCAACTCCGGAATTCATCCTTCTATCGCGAAGGGCACCTGATCATGGACTCGCGGCCTTTGCTGGCATAGCGCTGGAAGGCCTTCCTGGAAGAGGCCTCGGTCCAAATCGTCCAACAATCATGCTCGCGCATCTGCTGTCTGAGTTGGGAGATGATGCGCGGCTGCATGCCAAACATGTCAAGGGCAACTGGCACGTGCCTGGCCTGGATGAATGATGGGTCCAGGAACTTTCGGCCAGGGGAGCTCGAGTTTCTGAGCCTCGGCGGCTAGCCGAAGTCTCCTCTTACATGTGACGGCTGGGACTGGGACCCCGCATGAGCAAGAACGCTTGAAACCGGGATAATTTAGGAGCCACAACAGCAAGGAGTCAAGGTGAGAGAAGATCTCCGGTACTGGCTGTTTGGAGGGGCTCTCCCTGCCAAACTCTGACACTCGGACACTACCTGCATATCGGTCAACCCCATGTCCCCATGTCGGCCGTCCCTGGCATCGTCCAAGGGACTTTCCGTAGTAGCCGTGGTTGTCCTCCACAAAGCGCAGGACCCTCTGCTGAAGGCGTGAACGCTGCTGAATTTCCTTGGATTCGGAGGCTCTTCACAAGTTGAGCTTCAAGAGCCGAGCACTTGAATTAGCCTTCACTCAGAGCAGCTATCAGATCGCCAAAGAAAACAGTGTCATCGCGTCAAACCTGAGCTTCTGCGCGGACATGTGGTGCGGAGTTCAGCTTCACGAGCGCAGCGGTTTGCCCGTGCGAGGCAAAATGCAGGTCCCAGAAGTTGCTGTGATCGCACTTGAGGTCCTTGCAGATGGGATGCCAAACCTGGTGCAGCTTCTGCACCGTGATGTCCACATCTGCGCTCTCCTTCTCGTGTGCATCCAAGACCTCATGCGTCTGTTTGGAGGCCTGGCTCAAAGCTTGGGACGTCGCAAAGGTGCGCTGAGCCCTTGCATCCATTTGCAACAAATTGGCTGGAGGGTGGCCGAAAGGTGTTTCTGGATGTTGGAGCTCGTCGCATTGGTACTGTGCTGGGGCCACATCGTCGTGGTGCAAGGTGGGAGTAAGCTCCTCAAAGAGCAAGCCCTTCTTCAAGACCGGCCAGCCGATCTCCACGAAGGCCGTGATCACCTCCATGTATGTCGTGTACTGTGCCAGCTCGATGTCTTCCGGCACGTGCTCTTGCAAAAGGCACGTGGCCATCATGAGGCATTCCTTGTCAGAGCTCGCAGAGACCCGGAAGAACAGACAGGCACTAACCACAAACTCTCGGCTTTCGGAACTCCTGCCTTGATGTGGCTCTGCTTGTCACGTGGGCAGAGCGTCGGCCCCGCTTCTCCCAACATCTCGTGCAGAACGGTGTAATAGCCGCTGACTTTGTCTGACAACATCGCCAGGTCACTCTCGAGGAAACCGAAGTGATAGGTGATGTTCTCGTTGTGTGGGGCACTCTTGTCGCTAATGAGACCTGTAAAGTTCGTGAGGTTAATGCACACCAAAGGAATGGCTGCCGCCAGCTGGGCATAGAGTGGAACCGCGCCAACGGGCGCCTCTAGCTCATCTTCCGGCAACTCCACCTCCTCCTCAGGATCCTCGAAGTTCAGGACTTTAAATGCCAGACCCAAGCCTGACAAGCCCAGAAGAAGGAGGACGGGGCGCCAAAGCCGCTTCATTGGAACAAGGAGCGGACAAAGCTCTCCCTGGGACACACGTTGATAAAATATCAGTAGCTAGCGGCTGTTCGCCACTATCGCACGAGCCAGAAAGAGGCTGCGGAGCTGACTTCGACTCGCTGTAGCCACAGACCTTCATGGTGTGTCGACATGCATAGCTTGCAACAGTCATGAAGTACTTGGAACAAACCCTGCTAATCGAGCTCCTCCACATCTCTTATGCAGTTGCAGGGCTTATCTGATGCAGGACGTGCCCCCAGCAGGTCGAGGCCTTCACCGCTTGCATCGCCCACCCTGACTGGAGCGAGATACGAGAGCATGCTTGAGACTTGTGTTGCTATGCTGCAGCCTTCCATGTCTCTTGAACACTAAAGACGTGCTGGAAGATTCGGAAGGTTCGCAGAAACCACGCAGATTCACTCGCAAGTGTGTTGCCATGAAGGATGGAGAAGACTGTCATCGTTCTGGTCTTCATTTTCGTTCTTGCAGCTGGCATCATCCGCATCAGCACCAGCCCTCACTGGCTCCGGCATGTGCAACTTGTACGAAAATAGGAAATCGTACTAGGGCTACTCTTCTTCAGAGCGGTGCCTTCATCGTCTTGCCGGAGCTTCCAAATCGCCCTTCATCGCCTGCAACAGCAACCACGACGAACACCGGCTTGCGGATGCAGCTGCGGCAGAGTGTGGGCACTGTTCAGACACCAGCGCAAGTTTTGCGACGTGGTCCTTGCGATAGACCCTACGTGCGCTCAGACACTCCTGTTTTTGAGAAACGTGCTGTCTGCTGTACCTGTGGATAAAGTCACGCGGTGCTGCCATGCCGAAGCGGTCCAGCCTCGGGTCCGACGGGCAAAAATATCCGTGGAGTTTGGACTGGTGCGGTTCTACACTCAGTCGCTCAGCTGAGGCAAGGCCCAAGCGGAGCCAAGCGGTAACATGCGAGGAGGCAAATTGACAAGCAGAACCTAAGGTATGGACGGCAGCGCGGCCGGGCGGCCGGCGCCCGATGCGGATCCGCGGACATTGCTAATGTGCGGCGCACATTTTGAACCGTGCAGTTGCGAAGGGGTGTAAGCAAATTGGTGAAAGTCGAAAGTCCCACATCCAGACCCACGCGGAACCCCAGACCAAGATCTTCCGGCCATTTTCAGCTCAAGGACTGGCTCCTGGAAAACTTGCAATATGCATCTTTGCACAATCCCAAGCTTCGCTCGTCAGGGACTACTTCGATAGGGTCCCCTTCGAGCTGGCCGTCACACCGCCCCTGCGAGGATCCAATGCGATGCACCTCGGCGTCTGAGATTTAGAATTGTTGGGCCTTGTTGGGTGTAGGGTTTCGGGTTGTGGGCTTGAGGTTCAGGTTCAGGGCTCAGGCTTCGGATGAAAATGTTAGGATTTAGATAATGAAAAGATAATCGGTTCGGTGAAAATCAATAATAATGAGGATGATGATAATGATGAGGATAAAGAATAAGCAAGTGGTTGTGATTTCTTGGACAGCTGGCATGCAAGAATTGCTGATCAATCTTTGTGGCCCGCACCTAACGGTTGGTTGGCAATCTGGTACCTGTACAACTACACCGAGTGGAACTAGTTACTACCTGTAGGTAGAACTAGATGCACTACTACCACAAATGCCACCCACCACCACCGCCACCACCACCACCTCCTCCTCGATAAGCCTCTGGGCCCGACACTTTTGAGTGCCTGGTGTTTTTCGGTGTGTGCTGGATGGTTTGATGGTGCTACTTTGACTTTGTCCTTTCGGGATGGTGCACCACATGCGCCGCGTATACAACCGAGCAAAGCTTGACTCACTTATCCTGTCGCAGTGCCTGGACTGCGGCGTATAAAACGAAACCTCTACCACGATAGTTTTTCCTTTTGTGAACCGCCACCACTACAACCAAGGCATCGTGGCCTTCTGAGTTTCGTGAATCCTTGAGGCTACACTCTTGAGCTTGCGTTTGAGAATCGTTTTTAGTTGGAAAGGGTTTTGGTCTTCGACAGCCAGAGATTTCTCCATGATCACGTCTGCTGACTGACTTGAAAGCAGACTCTACCCGCCGCGAAGGTTACGTTGCTAAATGTTTCTGGTTCTTTGGGGATTTTGCGTGCCTTCGTCCCCAGAAGTATTTGCACAGCTTTTGAAACCCAGCAGCATTGCGTCCTGTACTTTTTGTTCAGAGACCTCATCTGTTCGGAGGTTAATGAGAGTTAATGAGAGGGTTGGGGGCACCGCTGCGTGAACGAGGTTCCGAAGATGCGAAGCAAGAGATGAGGAGATGGGAGGAGAGAATCCCTGCCCCAAGCTTCACTGTGTATTACTCGCTCAAAACGGACATCTCAATTACACACCCTCCGAACCTTTTCGGATTCTCAACATTCTCAACCGGAGACAGAAACTGTCCTCTCATCGCTGGGCTCCAGGCCCCAATCCTGAACGCTAAACCCAAGAATCATGGGCACACTTCAAGCGTCCCAACAGGCACGAGGCCGGTAGCAACCTCTTAAACAAGTGCTCACAAGTTGCTGCTTCAGCGCTGCACCCATTGCCTGGCCCGGATTCTTCCAATACAAGAGGTCGCCGCTTTATACTCCTGTGCTTCCGACAGGTCTAGTGCTGCGTCATGTGGCAAAAGTCTAAGGCAAGTGAATGCGAGAACTGTTTGCGGTGCTGGCCGTGGACCTCTGCTAATGTTTTCAGCGCGGGTGGAAGATGGGCAGCACTCCCCTGTTTTCCGGTTCAGTTTCTTATGAGTTTCCATAGGCTTGGATTGTTGGCTCATCACGCCCAAGTTTGTGAATTGAAAAGGAGACTGTCCTGCAGATGCGACATGTGATCAACTAAGGGCCCTCGGATCTCCCTAACCTGCTCAACACCTACATCGATAATCTCGGACTGGAGCGCCTGGGCAGCCGCCAGGGCGACGTGCCGCGCGGAAATGGCCTCGGCGCTGGGCACCTGCTGTGAGATTCAGAACTTGGGACAGCTTGGTCTAGCTTCGGTTGCGACTTCGGGTGAAGGGTGTAGATTCGTAGATGTTGGAATGAGTCTAGGACTCGGCCAGCTGAAGGGCTGAGAGTGTTCGAAAGCCATCAAAAGTGGCACTTCACGTTCTACCTTAGAGCCCATACCCAAGTCCTACAGGTTCAGCATGGTTGCACGACTAGGGCGATGTTGGCTGCTGAAGTGCAATGCTCGGCAGGTGAAACTTCGAACTTCAAGTGCCCCGACCGCAGTCACAGCAAGTCGCAATGCGCCACTTGGAAAAGCTTCGGGCACAGTGTAAAACGATTTGTAATGCAGTCTAAAAGTCGACAGGACACCTTGGCTTCTCGTTGAGGGTTGAAAGGGTTGGTTTTTCTGAGGATTCTGCGCTTCTCATGCTGGCTCTATTGCCGGATTGGAGAACGTCACAACCAAACATGGAAAGGAATCGCTGTGAGTACTGTGCTGTCCACACGACGTGCTGAAACGACATGTTATCCTGTGGAAGGACAGAACAGAATGCAAGCCAACCTACAAAGTGTCGCATACCTCGCCCACTGTCCCTCTACGTGACCCTGCACCTTGGACCCGACATCCAGAACCTGCCCAGATCAAAACAATGGCACCTGCAGCAAGTGGACGGTCATCAGAGCATTCATGACCTGAGCGGCTCGACCGTTTGTTTGGACGTGCATGGGTTCTTGTCTATCCCTGAAGACCCCAGGCCCAAACCATAGACCGGTGCAGAACCGGAAGTTTTACCGCGTGGAATGCACCCTGAGCCGAGTGGAATGCACCCGGAGTCACACCAGCCTGGGGGACAGAAAATAGCTCGGCCCTTGTGCTGGTTCAGATGGCTGGCCCAACACCTCGACTTTCGGACCCATCTTCGGACGTGGCTACAAATGCTGCGTTGCAAATTAGTTCAGATTGGACTAAGTAACCCGCATAATGCCAAATTTTCTCAATCGACTCGCAGCAGGCAAGCTTCTGCAAATTCACGCGAGGTAAGACATGTCATGAGAGCTTTCTCGAAATCATTGGTTGGTGTTTTCATGACAATCTGTAGAAGACTGCAGGCCTCGTAGAACTTGGCCTGACTTGTTTGTTGCAGAGTCGACAGGGAGGTTCGACAGCTTTCACGTCCCAAGTCGAGTGACTCCGCATGTCGTGGATGTCTCGTGTGCTCGAAGGCTGGGTGGGGCCTACCACTATTCTCATCTTCTAAAGACGGTGAGGCTTCAGCATCGCTGAACAATGCCTTGCCACGCACTGGGCACTGGGCACTTTGCCTTTCCCATCTATTCTCTCGCTCTGTATCTTCAAGCAGATGTTGCAACGAAGGCAACTGAAGTGGCTCATCCGACATGGTCTACCAAGCGTAGCCAGAAGCCGAAACCAAAAGGGAATCTCGGGCCAGCACGTGCCAAATGCTGCTTCCAGATCTGCTACCATGAAGGCCGCCTGAGCCTCACACAAAGGACTCGAAGCAATGGTGGATCATCCTGGGAGGCAGCGCGGCTTGGAGCGGGCTTTGCGGCTGCCTTCAGAGTAAAGGGAGGGTTGTGGGTTCGGGCTTAGGCTTAGACTTTCGCCTTCACTGTTTAAACTTGCAGAAGGGTGCCTAGTTTGAAACCTTCCAGTTGCTGCAGGGCTCATGGCACGATCCGAAGGCTCCACACCCCAACGCCGGTAAAAAAACGTGCGCAAAGCCTAGGGCCTAAGACCTCTTCCTAGCCGCTTCGGGTGACTTTAGGACTTTAGGAGCTCCTGGAAGGCGTCGAGAGATCACTACAAGGGCAAATCCTCCTCCGCTTCCACTTGGGACTTCATCTCAAGATCAAGCTTCGTCCTTTGGGTATAGGCTAGGCTGCGTGGCCTGAAGTTCGCTGAGCGCACAAGCTGTGGTTAGGAATCTGGTGCTGGGCACTGGTTAACTGGTGACTTCAGTCCAGCAAGCCTGGTCCCCGCACCACAAGAAACCCCAAGAAACCAACATCCGAGGCTCTCCACAGACACGTCGTCGACAAACTCTTCGTCTCTGACATGCAGACGGAGATCACTGCCTGGGAAGAAAAGCTTTCGTGGTTTGGGCTTGGTTTCAAGTCATGGGACTTTCGGTCCGGTCTTAGGAGGCCCCGAGATTTAGGGCTGGGAATTCCGAAAGATGCACCACTGCTGGCATAAGGACGCTTACCAAGACAATGTGAAAAGTCTTGAATTGCGGGATTCACGGGCTCAGTGGCTTCAGTGCATTCGTGGGATCAGGGTTCGAAGCCAAGAAAACATCCTGGCATGCACAAGAGGTTCATGCAGCCCAGGCCAATAAACGAAAAGGGGTGCTAGAAGGCAAAATCCAACAATCTATGAATCCATCCATGCGAGCCAGAGTACAAGCGAGCCAGAGTACAAGCTAGGCGGTCTTGCAGAAAGCACGACGGTTCGAACTTGTTTTTCGAAGACTTAGCCTTTGCCCCAGATCCAAGAAGCAGAAGCTCGGCCGGTTGGAGAGGTCCATCACGCAGAGAACCTGCCGTTTCCGAACGATAAAGCTCCGCGGCATGACTCAGAAAGGTGTTCGTCACGGCCCAAAGGTACCGTTCTTGGTGCTGGATTTGGGTGGAAGGGCAAGGTTCCGGGGCTGAGGCGGGTGCGCCTGCGCGGAACCCTCACGGCCTTCGGCCCAAGCCATTCGCGTGCAGCCAGCCTGGCCGAATCAGGGACTTAACTGTCTCAAGGCATAGTAAAGTAGGGAACACTCGCAAGACTTGAAACCCTTCAAGACCCCAGTCTTGTGAATCCTACGTTCAAAGCCCGGGGCCGGAGTCCTTGTCGCCCAGTGCCTCTGCCAAAGCCTTGCCGACCTTCAGAAGATTAGAAAGCAGGCTGCAGGCTGCGTCGACCAAAGAAACGGACTATCCAAATGGATCTGCTCCTGACAGTCGCAGAGTACGATTTGGAGACTTCAAGGATCCAATCCAGTTGCAGTCTCTCGTGTGTCGACACCTGCACTTAGGCACCGAAGTTTGAGGACATGCCTTTCATGCCCATGTAGCTGATCCCTTAAGCTTCTCCTTGCTGCCCTGGTTTATGCTGTCGGGGATCAGGGTTGATGTAATTTTGGCAAATGGAGCTGTCGGCGCTCCACCTTACGACTCTCAGCTTTCCGAATCTCGGCGCAAATGCCTGGACCGAGTTTGGAAGGCATGGTTGACCGGAGAAGTCTCTTATGCCTCTAGAAGCCGTAAAGACTTTGATGCGGCAGAAACAACATTGCCAGTCAGCCCACCGTGATCATCACGTCTTCCGTGCTGTGATGGTCGTCGATCCAGGTGTCTCCTGCCCAGAAGGCGGCTTGCATCAAGCTGTCGCTTTGACGCTCTGATTTTGGCAAAGGCGGCTCCGAAACTAGACTATTTCAGGGCTCAGGGTCGTCTAGGAATCAACTTCAGGATGTGGAACAAAGTCGTGAAGTTGTTGAGGCTCAGCCCTGTGCTGCTGCAGAACGCATCTCGAAATCAACTACTGGCTCACGATCAACAGTGCAGCAGCCTCGTTGCTAGCAAAGCCAATCAAATCAAAGTGCACGAGTGCACATACAAGATACGAGCAAAGAGAGATATAGCGGTCACGGATATATGGTAGCAGGCCGTTGACACTGTCCATCAACATCCACAGCAGAGGAGTCAGCAAGCATGCATGACATCAGAGAACTGCCAAAGCCCACGGTAGCTGTGATTGGATTTGCGAGAAGAGCAACAAGAAAAGGTCCATCACAAAAGCAGATGCAACAACGAACAACAAAAGCAGCAAGAGCCCGAGCAACAACAACATCAGCAACAACACTCAGCCGAAGCAATATTGGGTGCCGTGGTCATCCTATGGTAAGCTGGTTAGCACGGCTGCAAAGAGAGATTTGATTCTGCGGGGCAGATCTAGAGGAAACATATTACATGCAGGGTCATAATCAATGTCACCGTGATCTGTACCATCGCCAATCTGGGCTTCAAAGCCGAGATCCTGAACCCCAAAATCCGGAAGACCTAACATATGCGCTAAACCCTATACCTCAATAAGCGCAAAATCCAAGATCCGAACCAACCCTGCATCGAAGCCTCGACAGCTGGCACGCAGCTCGATGCCGGAAGCCACCCGTAGGCGTGCAAGCAGTGCGTCCAGGAAGTTGAGCCCAGTGCAAAGCCTTCTTGATCTTGCGCAGGTTTATGTCAAGGCTTTGGGGGTCAGTCTTGAAGTTCTGCTTTTGGCTGTAGGGGCTTAAAGTGAGGCTTCGAAGCTTCAGAAAAGGCCATACTAATTGTGCGAAACCGCGTGCGGAAGCGTTGAACGACCCGAGCTCGCATTCGTGTGGAAGGCGGGACCAAGGTCCCAGGATTTTGGCCTAAACTCTCTAGTGGTACCAAATCATACAAAAGATGTACAACTCAGAACAAGGTCCACAAGAGGAGTTCAGCACTCGAGTCAGGGAGGAACAACAACTCCGACAAGGACAACAATGAAAATCGTGACATCCCTGACAAAGGGTGTGCCCAAGACGCATTGCCAAGGTCGTAGCCGATGTGCCAGGGCTTCAGGAGCCCATGTGATATAAAGCAAATTTTGGAACCAAGGACGTGCTCTTGGTGCAAACGTCTGTCGCATTCGAACGAGACTTTCAGGCAAGGGCCGCAACGCTCTGCCGTGGCTGTGTATAAGCGTGTGCACTGCTACATTGATGAATATGCAGATGTTCACATGGGGCATGCCTTTTGCTTGCCACATTCTTGTATGCATCATGGGTTTCACGATTCGCTTAAAGCAAGTCTTTTCATGCTAAGTGGCCCCTCTGCACCAGCTTCAACAGCTGCATCGAGGTCAAGGGAGACATCAATGCTTGTCTCCTGCGGTGCGGCATGGAATTCTGCACTGAGTTCCAACCGTAAACCCCAAGACCCACGAGGCACCGAGGTCAAGATGGCACACAGCCGAGATGTCGGTGCTCCGTTACTTATCCGAGTTCGGCAAACTCCTGGTCTGCAAGCGAATTCAACGCATAAATGGCATGAACTCGGGTGCGCGACACTCTTCGAATTAAGCAGGCATCTCCACCAGTTCAAGCTTTCATGCAAGGTCCAAGTACGGGCTCCGTTTCGGGCCGCCTTGGCCTGCACCAGAACCCCTCCATCATCGTAACCCCCGCAGCCCCAAATCCACCTTGGTGCTCCGCTGCTTCCCGCCCCTCCGCGGTGCCGAAGGCGCCGCAGCCGCTGCTCCGGCGCCGCTGAAAGCATCGAGGGCAGCACGGAGGCACCGGGCCAGGCTCTTGAAGGTCGCCTTCGGGAAATCGAAGGACTGTGCCTTATAAGGTCCGTGTTGCGACAGGGCCCGTGTTCCGGAGTCCGCGTCTGTACAAAACATGGCTTGCTTAGAAGGACCATCATGTCTTCGGCTTGCCATCCAACAGTCCTAAACCCATCAAAGCGGCAACCCGGAAAGGGCTGTGGCCATGCTGTCCAACCTCGACAATGTGATGAGCGTTGTCGCCTCGGATCTTCCGTACCTCCGACTCCAGACTGTTGGGTTGTTACACTCAGGGAACTCAAACTTGCTGCGGGCTTTAGAATGTGGTTCCATCGGACTCTAAGATCAGATCCGAGATCAACTGAAACTGACTCTGGACACCTTTGAAGGCTCGGAAACCTTAAAGCAGGGCTGATTGCAAAAGCAAGACTTGCTGCCCACCACGGACCAGAATCCTAATGATAGTCCTGGTCCAACAACCATCACCTTTAGTCCTGGAAACTCCAAGACCGTTCACGCTCTATCTCAATCCGGAAACCCCGGCCAAGAACGGAACTCAAACCCGAAAGCCCAAAGCCGCCCAAAGCCTAAACACTTACCTTTAAGGTTTTCCATTTGTAAGTCAGGACCCTGAACTTTGAAACCTACTACAACTGAAAACCTAAACCCCAAAACTTCAAACTGTACAGCGACCTCCAACCGGCCCCACCTTGAGCGTTGCACCGAGCGCCTCGGCGAAAGAGCGCAAGACCACCTCCGTCAACTCAGTACCTCAGAGCAGGGGCTGTAGGGCTCGGGGTCTAGGGTTCAGGGATAAGGGATCAAGGTTTAGTGCTAAGTTCTGGTACATGTCTTAGCAAGGCGGGGCGAGGGGGGGTAAGTGTGGGCGTGCTTACTCATCCACCTGTTTCGTCGGCACGTAATCTCGCTCCAACCACCCACACTGTTCTCAACTCTGTGACTGATCAGGGCTCAGCCCCCCCGCCAACTCATAATTCCCTTCTCTCTCTGATTCCCCTCGAGTTCTACACACCAGCCCACAACGGCAATGGTTTGTATTCAGGTTGTCGGCCTGTGCCGGCCCCTCGACAAAAGCCAGAAGTGTTCGACATGCAAGCAGCTTCTCGGGCCTGTGATGGCCGCTCGACGTGATTTTGCGAAGGAGGCAGGAATTGCACCGCAACGGGGAGAATCACGAAACCCAAACCGAGAGCACGGAAAGAGCCAATCCGCCGCCGCCCCGCGGCTGGGAAACAGCCTCGGCTATGTCTCCCGGGCTTTGCAAAAGAGGCTCAGACTCGGTGCTTTCAGAGCCATCAGAGCGTTTCAAAATACTGCTCTGCCTTCCTGCGGCCAAGGAGCCATAAGGCGCCAAGTCAATCTCGGCGCTGGAGGCCTGGGCTCATGGCGCCTTCTGAAGGAATCATGTGCCTCTGGGTTTTCGGAATACTCGAGGTCATCTGCCCCCCAATGCAACATCTTCAGAATGGTGTCGAAAACCACTCGACTGTTTGAAAACTCCCCTACATGGTCGGACACTACTCCGGATCTTGCCGGTTTCTGTACCATATGAGCCGCCGTCTAGATCCCTCGCACAACAAGAAAGTATTGCGGTAGGAGGGTACTTGTCGCTAGGACGCTCAGCTCCGAATTTAAGAGGACCGACATCACAGAAGCTGCTGATCGAGAGCATTCTCCGGCAGCAGCCAAAGTCCCGACGAGCCGCAGACCTGAAGCCTCGAACGCCTACAAGCCACCAGTCTTGAGAGCCTCACACTCGCAAAGCTCAACACCCTCAAATGAAATCTGGAGCCACGTCATGGTTGCACTAACAGTTCAAGACTGGGAAACTCGCCGTCTCACCCGCTTTGGGAAACTCGAGCCGGAGATCGGTGAAGGCCTGGATGACAATTGAAAATCTGCCGAGCCCAATCTGGGAACGCAAAGCCCTAAAACCCTGAAGCCGATGGTGCCAAGTTAAAGGTTCGAGCACGGTTCGCGCACCCCCAATTCGTGCGCGCTGGCAGCACGATTTGTTTGTCTATGGAGACAGCAACATGTCTTGCATATCTGGCGGCGGCGCACTAAGAAGTATCAACGGCACTGCGGCGGGAGCACAAGTTCGAATTCTCCTAAGCCGCAGCCGAACTACTCAAAGAGCACGACTTTAGGCGAACACGACGCGCAGGCGCCTCGCCCTCTGAGCCTAAAATCCTCATCGTGTTACCGTCACACTGTCTGGGGAAGGACCCTAAAGCCCTAAATTCAAACCTTAGCCCTACGCACTGTCACCTCAGTGGGGGCCGTCAGGCACCTCTGGCCATAGCTTCCGCGATATTCTCCCTTCCCTGTGAGTGGCTGGACGCGTGTTCTTGTGGCTGTTGTCGCTGTCTTTGCAATGCTGCACTGCGAGCTCGCAGTGCTTTTTGGAACTTTTCCCCCGTGATTGGACGTGAAATCACCCTAAGCCATACACCGGGAGCCCTGATTGTTGATTGTGAGTCTGAGTTGGAATCTTTCGAAGGTGACACAAACAGCATGACATCCAACAACTAGAGGCAATGTTTCGTGGATTTCGGGCTGAGGGATGAAGGCTCTTGTAACTGTAACGGGAGTTCATAGGTAGTCTTTCGCAAGGCTTAATGAAGCTCGCAGAGCTTCACAAAGATCAATTCTGTTGACGCGAGATTGAACGGGCTTGCTGAACTTTCAGAATGACATTGCTTTTGCGGGGGACATGGCTGGCAGGGTGTTAGAGCTCGGGGTGTTTGCCTCAGATTCTGCAGCTGTGAATCTGTAACCTTCATCGTGTTGCAAGGGTTGTTTCAGCATTTGCCCTGGGCTTTGGGTAGCTCCTCGTCCAGCGGCGCACAGAAGCGGAAGCTGCCGCCAATCGCCCTGTTTATCAGCCAAACATGAAAGAACCGCCCGAAAGCGAAAAGCAGAAACTCGCGGAGTCATCGGAACACGAAAGCCACAACTCGGATTGCAGAGACTGTACAAGCGGCGGGAACAGGGCTCGGGCTAGAGGCTGCGAGTTGGAGTTAGGTGTTGTGGAAAATTCTCATCCTCAACTTTGGGTTTTGCAACCGCGGCCTTCAGGATCCCTGGAAAGCCTGTAGCGGTGTCGGGAAACCTGACATCCTTGTTTGGCCGCACTGTGCCACGTCAACTTCCTCTTCGTCTTTTTGCTTGTCACTGCTGAGCTTTCTGAGTCTTCAAAAGACCGCGAAAATCATATGTTCGCACCTGTCAAGCGGAACAGCTGCCCACTCCGTAAACCCAGGACCTTGCAAACTAAACCCTCGACCCTGCAAACCCTGCATCTCCTAAACCTTGGCCGTGGCTCCTGCGTTCGTTGTGCCCGCTTTCCAGCAGTTCCTGGCAAGTCCATTTTGCGAGGTTCGCTTCAGGTCCGAGGCAAAGCTTTGGTGAGTTCGGGGTCTCGTGGCTCTAGGAGTTTCAGGTAAAAGTCTGCACTAATTGATTTAGCATCGACACCTGCAGAAATGTGGCTTCAACATGCCATTGCCTCTTCGCGTCGGTGTCGTGGAAGAAACCGGCAATTCAACCGATTCATGAGATTACACGAACACAACATAAGAGGCTGAACAGAGGTACAGCGGCTTAGCTTTGAGGCTGTCTCAGAAATACTAACAGTAAGTCAAAGGACAGACGGTGCAAGGATTCACTGCGATCAGCCGGTTGTGGCCTGGCCGACTGCATGTGCCAGCAGGGCATCTGCACCGCCAGTTCTGGTGCCGCTAGGAGCAGTAAAGAACGAATAACGGGGAGCACCACCACTAGTGATGCACAACCGTCACGAGGAAGATCCGGAGCACCCACACACCGAGCCAAACCCGCAAACAGCCAAAGACCAGCCCTGAACTCATGAAGTGAAGGAAACCATGAAATGAGGATGTGAATACAAAATCGCCTATGTCTCTCGACCCGAACAGTGCGGTCGTCCACAACCTCCTCAAAAAAAACTTCCTCTCCTCCCTGCGTATCACCATCTACAGTTGCCAGAATGTACCGCATGCAGACTAGGCCGGACACATATGGGGAACCTTGTCCTTAAACACTCCGGTGTGTGACTGGCCGGCCGTCGGGCACAGGGTTCATAGGGCACACGATTCATAGGCCTTATGTTCGGCCTGGTCTGAGCCTTCTGCGCGCGTGGCTTTTGCTGTTTTAATCACAAAAGGCAGCAGCTCCTTCACCGCGGCACCCAAGGCTGCACCGGCAAGAGCCGCGACCTGCATGAAAATGGGTATAAAAGAGCCCCCGAAAATCAATGATTGACATCTTTGTCGAACAGGCCGTGACTCAAATTGACAATCAGCCGCTCAGCACATGCTCTAGCGACCACGGTTTTGTTAAGCAAGCAGATTGGCACTCAGATGCATCCAAACACACAAATGTAAAGCCGATTCTTCTTCAGCCGCACCCTAGACCCGAATCCTTAGATTCCCCGGCCACGGAGTTCCGCTCTACCTTTCTTCTGTCTCGAGCCTGGCCATCGCAGCCAGATGTGTGGGACTCGTTGGAGTGCGGCTGCAGGCATGTGTCCCCCCGCCACACCTGGCCCAATTCCATGGAGAAGCACCCTCGAAAAAAGGCGCTTGCTGGATCAGGTGTGATAATTAAAGCCTCGGGAGCCCTGTAGCGGCCGGGTGCTACCGCCGACTTTGCTGCACAATGGGAGCCGAGTGCACTTGCCAGGTGTTGGGTATCAACATGTCACCCATCCGAAAACCCAGAGTGTGTTCGTAGTGGTGCCTGCGCCATAGATGAACACGTCAAAAGGATGTTCTTGACGACTACAGGCGGGTCTTAAGAAGCGTTTTGCGTTTGCTCCATGACCTCCCTGGCCTGGAGCGACACGCGCAGCTGTGCGTGGGAGTTGAGCTGATCTATCATGTGGTCCAAGAACCTTGCATTCTCTTGGAGAGAGGATTCCGGGTTGGGGCAAAAAGCGTTTTGGGTCCTCGGAAAAAAGGTTTGAGCCATGCATCATCGTGGAATCTACATTCAGCTTTCGCAACAGCTTCATGCAAACTCGGTCACTGGGTCAATAGTTTTGGCTCGTTGCTGTCAGGGTTTCAAGCCTTAATGTAGTATTTGGCCAGCCCTGGAACGCACGTCAGAACCCCTCAGCAAGGCATCCCAGCAGCAATCCAGCATACCAAAGTCAGCAACTTCATTCCAAACACACTGTCACTGTCGAAACTCAACACCCATGTGAAATATTTGCTGTCCGCGGCGCGCAATGCCTGACGCAATGGGCCTGGTTTCATGGCTGTTGAAACCAGGGTTTTTTCTTGGGAAGTGAATCCTGACCGGCTTAGCTTCGCTCTACAGTGGCAGCTCGGCACAACAAGAAATATAGCCACACGAAGCAATGCTGCAACAGCGGAGATATGGGTGATCATCGCCTACGTAGTAAACTCCAACCACCATCATCATCATCAACAACAACAATACTATCGTCATCATCATCACCATCATCATCATTCCTGTCACCATCCCCATCTCCGCATCATCTCTCATGCTGACACGCATCCAGAACTGGCAACATCAGCACCGCGACATCTTCCAGAACAACCATCTACATCTGGAAAAACGTCAGCCTCACAACCACCTCTGAACCGGCATCATCCTCATCACCATCATCACTACGCCATCATCATCTTCGTCGTCATCATCATGATCATCATCATGATCATGATTGTCATTATCATGGCCGTCATCATCATCACCATCATCATCACCATCATCATCATGGGCATTATCATGAGCATCATCATCATCATCACCATCACCATCGTCATCCTCATCATTTGCTCAGCGGCAGCACCAGCAGCAGCAGGAGTAGGAGCATTAGGCCATCGTCCTTTGCGTCATCCTTTCTTCATCAGCACTGCCTTATTGAATTTTGAAAACAGCATGAGGATGACAATAGACATCGCTGCGATGCCACCGGTATCAGTTATGGTGTGTTTATCTCCATTATCACCAGGCAGCATCCATACAGTCATCACGTTCATGATCCCTGATCGGGTAGTTGCCATCATCCTTACGATATATTGCCAAACACTCACACCTTGGGCCTAACTGCGGCGAAAAATGAGAGGTCGAAGGGCCCAGCTCGCAGTGCATCCTGCCGTGTGGCATCTGCCACCTGGTTCGCAGTGAAACCCCCTGTGAAATGCCAGAGTTTCAAGATTGGGGGGAGGACTGGACAACCTGTTCTCCCCTCTGTTTCTGAAGGCTCAGATATTGTGGCTAGTCAGACCTCTGCTCGAAAGCCATCCCAAATATCGAAACCCTCAAAAATGTCCGGACATGTAACGAAACAATCGGGCCGGGCACAACCTCAAAGTGACCGTCAAAGCTCATCAGACGGCCTGGGCCACGGCGCGCAATGCCAGGCCATTGTCGCCCTTGCGCTCCCCGCGCCCTGGGCCGAAGCTCGGCCAGGGCCTCGAAGAAAAGTTTCGGCCGTTACAAGCAGTTTGAGCCTCCGGAGGGTGCAGTGGTTCAGGATGTATGTTGGACACACGATAATGCTTTGGTTCATAAGGCGACAATGAAAAGCCAGTGCAGAAAGCATCAGCACCCCCCTCTAAGCGCCCAAGGCTCATCACGCGCTCCATCCTTTCGCAAACCCTCCTTGCAATGTGCCGTCCAGGGGAGCCTGAACTCGACCCCAAGGTTGGATGCATAGAGCTACTAGTACCAGTACTAGTACGAGTACTAGACTTGTACCGGTCTGGTTTTGAACTGGTACTGGTACTAGTCTTGGAACTGGTACTAGTATTAACACTACCACCACCCACCTATAACGACAACGGCGTCCACTACTGCGACTGCAGCAAAGCTCTGAAGGTCTGCTCAGTGGCTCGATCTTGCGGCGCTTCTCCTGGAATCCATTCTCGAAGAAGCAGGAACTTACTTCGATGCATTGCAGGTTAGGAAATTAGGATTCAGGGCCTACAGCTGGGGCTTTGCAGGCGGAGTGGGAGGATTTAGGGCTTAGAATAAATTGAGCGTTTCCGGCCGAGGTTCAGGGTTTAGGTTTCAGTCTTGGCATGCGGTTGCAGGCGGGAAACGGTTGAGGGGAGCACAGGTTGTTTTCGTGCGAAGAGGGCTAGCGGTAGACCAGCGCAATCCGCTGAGCATGTGTAACCTTTGAAGCACCTGACGAGTTCTTGGGCAGGCCTCCTCGGTGGCCCCTGCCACGCCGAAACATCCCAAGCCCCGACTCCGCAACCTTCGAGGCAACAACCAGCAGATCCCCAGCTTTCGCCAGCAAAACAATGGATGGACCCCGGAAGCCACCAGCAAGAGCCCGTCAAGCTTATCGCGAGGCAGGGTGAGGCTTGAAGTTTTGGGCTTGCGGTTTACGAATGCGCAGGTCATCCCAGGCACGCTACACTGCGCTACACTGCGCCACGCCGCTACGGTCCTCGGGAAGGTCAGGCATGACTCAGGCCAAGCTGCACATGTTTGCACTTGGAGGTGAGGATTGCGAAGGGCAGGCTGAGTCGACAGTCTTTTGTCAAGAAATGGCGGGTTTGGGAGTGTCTGCTTCTTGGGGGCTTAGAGGTGCAGCTCATTTCTGCGTGGGCTTTGAAGCATCTCAGATGCGTTCATGAGAACAGTTCCGAACTCAGGCATGTGCTGCGGGGCCGTGGCAGGATGGCTTACGATGAAAGCTCAACAAGCCTTCGGACACACCTCGATTGCTGCGAGCAAAACTAACACCAAAGCACCAGACGCCCCAACAACATCTTGAGTTTCCGGAGGATCTCCAATATTCGGCGAAGCGGCCTGTTCCCATTTCCCCCTTGTTGGGGCGCCAAAGCCCGAAAAACAAATCCCACAACCTGAAATTCGGGAAGATACTGGTGTGGAACGACACAAAGCCCAGCAGATTGCTGCTCGCGTTTTCCATGCAATGGAGCCAACGATTTCGCAAGCTTTGACGAACCGTTGGATTGAGGCACAACAGCTGATCTTAAAAGCGAGAACCTTCGCAGTCCACACCGTCATGATCATCGTAATCATCATCGTCGTATTCGTCATCGCCATCATCGATGCCGTCACCAGGCTACAATCCTCGCTATTTTCGCCAAGGCCAATACCATTATCAATACCATCATCTTCCTCTCCAAAGCTGTCAGCATGAGACCCAAAACCAGAACCTTTGGGGTGATTTTCTTAATTATGACGACAACAACATACCCATATTGATGTTGAGCACCGCGGCGACTTGTGCAATGTCGACCCATGTCCAGAGATACGAACATTACAGACTAACAAGATGCCCAAAACGCCGATGCCACAACTCTAACGTGCGTAGCCCTCAGTTGAACTTCGCATTATACCATTTCTGCTGCTGTGAGTGCCATGTCTGGTTCTTCTGCCCTGTTTGTCAAAACGGTACTGCCTGGACTTGGTCAGCAGCATTGGAACACTCTGCGTCACAGGCGAGATGTTGAAGCTTGCGAAGTGCAGTCAACTGTTGCGTCCCGACCACTGCTGTGGGGCATTCCGAGTCCAGGGTACGTGCTTTAATGGTCTAAAGGTATGGTAGCTTGCCTCTCCTGCACTATCAAGTTGAGGTCATGATCAATCTGACGAAGAGATGACACAGATGATGCTGAAGATTATGATTACACACATACCTGGGGTGATGGTGGTGGTGGCGGTTTTGGTGGTGGTGGCAGTGGTGGCGGTGGTGGGTTTTGTTGTGGCGGTGGCGGTGGGGGTGGTGGCGATGGTGGTGGTGATGCTGAGATGAAGATGAACAAGGAGATAGCGATGAAGATTATGATGACACTGATGATGGCGATGACGATGACGATGATGTCGATGATGATGATCATGGCGATCAGAACGATTGTGGTCATCATCATCATGGTGATGCTGCTGATAGCGGTTATGCTGTTCGTGATGGTGGTCCTCAACATCACCATCATCATCACCACAGATGCTCAGGACGGGCAGGAGTCAGGAGGAGCGAGGGGGAAGAGGCAGCGGAGCAGCAGTAGGAAGACGAAGATGGTGGGAACGCTGAATATGAGAATGTTGGTGCTGATGCTGATGACGATGGTGACGGTGACGATGATGATGATGATGGTGGTGGTGCCGGTGGTGGTGGTGAAGGTAGCTGTGATGAAGACTATGGTGGCCAAGATGAGCGGCGGATGGACGTGGTGGTGGTGACGATGCCACCGGCAACAACGACGGCGGCAGCGACGGTGGAGTCGGCGTATTACATGTCCCTGGCTTTGCAATACCGTGCTAACTGTTTGGACATATGAGTATCATCCTTGACAATACTCTTGTGGTAGCACTTCCCCGATAAACAGCTTTCTGCCTCCGCAAACTTGCACACGATGCAACGTCTGAGACCGCTGTAGCAACATGAGCCCTCCGAATCACTGCTGGGGTGGCTGGGGTGCCTCTATCTCGAAGTCAGCACATTAACGGAAACTGCCTGTCAGACACAGAGCTTTCACAGATGTCACATGTATGATATATGTATGAACTCTTTTCTTTCTTGCATGTCTGTTACTCGTTATTCACGCACATTGGCCTCGGAGTCCCTTCCTTCGATATCATCCTGAAAGTTTCACCTCTAACCCTGAACTGTTGCAGTAGAAAGGCCATGTCCGTCCTCCGGGTAAGTACTGAAAAGGCAAGGGAAGGCATGGCAGTCGGCTTCTTGATACGGGGTTTAAGGCCTGTTCTGGGACTGAGGGCCCTTGCCTTGCTCGAACCCTAGTTGCGAGGGTCATGGCTGAGGGGTCCAGGATTCAGGGATCATCTCAAGGGTATGAGGTTCCAGTTTGGGGGGGAAGGGAATCGGGGATCGCAGGAAACTACCCCAGCAGGGCTTGGGGCTCACAGGTGAAAGCCCGCAGCCTTGGCCTGGACTCTACGGACATATTCCACTATGCCACGCAGCACTGAAGAATTACTCTTGCTGGTCTAACAAGAACCGCAGCACAACTGCTCCAACTTGAGGTGGTGGTGTGCATACAGTCACGGTGCTGATTATGACGATGGCGATTCTTGCATCTACAGCGACAAGTCTGCTTGCGTTGGATGACCCATTGCTGCCAGTCTCCTCTCAACATCATGACAAGCATGTGTGTGAGTGCTCGAACCACCCAGGCGACTCCTCATGCGTGTGACTCTGTGGTTGCAAAGATTGAGGACCACTCTTGTGGTGTGAATATGCCCAAATGATGCTCAACATAACTGCTATGACGGTTGCCGTCGCGCTGCCGACGGATGCCACCTCGAATGCCGTCGATCATGATATGATTAGTTGCCACGTCGACTGTGATGGCGGTGCAGCGCAGGATTTGCTGCTTTGATGTTCGAATGATCCTGCCTCCTAGACCGATGCTGTTACTGCTGTTGCATTACTGCGAAGGATCTTGCTGTCTTTGCAAATTTTGTCATGTTCAAGTTTCTTTGAACTGCGCCTTTCCTACAAGCAGACTTTGCTCTCCGGCTCGGATGCCTAGGGTTTCTGACGACACATTTAAAGTACACTCAGCGGATTCGAAGTTTGGCGCAACTTTGGTACCGGTGCGAGTTTCGGGTCTGAAGATGTCCGAAGCTTGCGCAAGCTGTGTGAAAATGCCCCAGACCCATTTTGAAGCCTGGGCCCTGGTTGCTCTCTGTGCGGTGCCCAGAAAAGAGCCGTCACGAACACGCGCGACAGCCGGCCGTGAAACAAACGAGCTAGTGAGCAGCAGAGGCGAGGGGATTTTAACACTCGGAGTCAATGTACATGGCATCTTGTCTGGATCGGCTCAAGGATGTCCTTAAAGTCTCTGACACACTGGCTCTGCGGGGACTCAGAAACCCACGTCCCCGAAGCAGGAGCGCCAGCTCAGCCGCTACGCTTGGCTTCCAGCAACTTGCCCTGCGAGGGGAGGTTCGAAAGTCGTGAATTAGCTCTGGCTTGAGGCCCCTTTAGGAGCCTGCCCCCATGATGTCGTATTTCTGTGCGGGGTGTAGTTTCCGCATTGGCGCTCCAGTTTGCGGTGCAGTCTCGAGAAAGTGCAAAGGATATGCTGTCAGGCATGCCCATTTGCGAGTCTTTGAGTCCAACCATGTCGTTGACAACTTTGGAGGCTAGAACTAGCGCGGCCAGTCTCACCGTTCTGATGCATTACCAAGGCCACGTGATATGATGTCGTTGCTGCCATGTGTGTCCTCGACCTGTTGTCTGTTCCATTGTCATGAGCTTGGACATCACGATTACTTTTGCCAGTGGCGATACATGTGATAACTCTTTATGCGAGCAGGTCCCCCGTACTTCATCTTTATTTTTTCAGAGGATGCATCGATATGCTGTGCTTCGCATGAAAGTAGAACTGCTGAAACTGCTGAGCAATAATGATTAGGAGCGGAATCCATGTGACTAGCTTGCGACTGTGACGACTATACGATAGGTAAAACTATACTGGCAATTCCAGCACTGAGTATTAAGCCCTGCGACTGTCACTATTCTTACAATTGCTGTCCTTACAATGTCGCAGATTGATCATTTACCTGGGTGTCTCAATCATGACTAACATGACTTAATGAAGATTGAGCCTCCTACGATGCTTAGCTGATCAGTGTGGTGACCGTGATGCCATAGCCCCCACAGCCATTCTTTTAACACATATGTCGTTGCCACCGGTGTCAGCATCACATGGTGATGATACGCAGTTTGGATTGACAATTTTCCGAAGATGTCGCATACCATGATGAATATACGATGACGATGATGACGACTGCTAACGAAGAAGAAGAAGAAGAAAGTCATGAAACCGAATAAGTAAAGCAAGACTGATATGATGACGACGATGATGATCATGACAATGATGGTGATGATTAGGATGATGGTGATGATGATGGTGATGGTGATGCTGAAGATTAAAGTGGTGATGAAGACGGTGATGATGATGATCATGATGATGATGGTGATGATGGTGATGATGACGGCGGTTGTGGCGGTGGTCAGGACGATGATTGCGCCTACAACTTCTGAATACCATGCTGCGTGGTTACTATGCTGCTATTCAACTATAACTGCTGTAAATGTTGCGCTTACGCGATCAGCGAACCCAACAGATACTTCTCAACTTTGCCATTAGTCTTCATGTTTGCTGTCTTGGTTGTTGCAGATTTTGGGGATGCTATGATGATTGCGACTATTTGGCACGCCTACAATATCAGTATGCATGTTAGCCGCTGCGACGAGCATGACTGGCATGGTTTCTTCTCCTGCTTGGAATGCTCCGGGTCTTGGATTTTCTGTCTGCGGTGTGCAAGGTCTGAGGTGGTTGTAGCTGCAATATTATGTGCTGATTCTGTTGACCTCGTCGCTGCGGTCATGATGCGAGTGTGGCGATTGCTGTGGCTTCTTGGAGGGCTTGTTGTAACATCTATCATTGCATTTTTCCAAACACT